ACCCCCCCTCCCTCCCCATCCCCCACCCCCAACCCACTGCTTCACATTTGTGCCTCTAAAACCATGAAAGATTTCTCTTTGCCAGTCCTGGCTGGCATCTGGCATCATTTTCCTGGTTCTTGGCTGTGTTTCTTGATGCAGTTCAAGTCCTTCCTGCAGTTCTGTGTGTTGGATCTTCGGTGGTCATCTTACAGGTTCTGACAGATGGCAAATCATGTTGGAGTTTTCCCCCTCTCCTTTTATTTTAGGATATTTAAGTTGGAAGTATATGGACTGGGCTTAGCGCTGCAGTAGAGCAGTTGCCTATCACAATGAGGTCTTGCATTTGGTCCCTAGCACCACACACACACACACACACACACACACACACACACACACACACACACAGAATATAAAATGTCTTAAACCCTCCTCGGAAAGAATTTGAAAGGGAATTACAAGAATAAGTTTAAAGTGAGCCTCAGGGAGAGGAACTCGAAAAACGGGGAATCCTTGCTATGGTCTAGAACGGCATTGGAATCTTTCTAAGCGTCATTTCCCTCACCTGTAAAGTGCCACTCCATGCCCTCCTGTGCAGCTCAAGTGAGGCTCAAGTGCACATGACGCAGGGCATGCTGCAAGTGCAGTTTGAGGGGTAGGGTTCAACTTTCCTGTGTATACAGAGTGAGCCAAAAAGAGTGTGTGTGTGTGGGGGGGTGCCTTTGCTGAGGGAGGAGATTGACCTTTGCTGAGCTGCAGTTAGAGGTGAGAGAGGAAGTTGTATTCATTTGGATAAAACCATCATTTCCTTAAAGTCCAGGCTCTGGGCTTTTAAGTAGGTCACTGAAAAAAAAAAAAAAAAAAAAAAAAAAAAAAAAAAAAAAAAAAGAAAAGAAAAGAAAAGAAAGTTCTTCATTTGTGAGATGGCCTGTGGGTGGCTCTCTGGAGGCTAGGTATTTGGAATTGGTTGTCCCATAATGCACCTGCAATGAATTGGGCTCCCAGTTGACCAGAGATCAGGTTTCCAGATGGAAAATGAATGCCAATGCTCCCCCTTTCTGAAGTTTGCAGTCTGAGTGGGTCTGGTACCCTGTCATTTGCCACATCTTGAAGTAGCTTGCAAAGGGCCATGTAAAACACTTGAAAGATGTTTGAAATATTCTGTGCTGATAGCTAAGTTAGATATAAATGCTTCCTGGTCAGGTTTTCATTATTTCAAATTGTGGTAAAATGCAGAATTTAGCATTTTATTTCTTAATGAACCAGGGCATTGAACCCAAGGCATCTCATAATGCAAGGCAAGTGTCAAATGCCAGGTTAATGCCACCATTGACCTACATTCCCAGCCTAAACTTTACCATTTTAACCACCTCAAGTGTACAGTTGTGTATCCGTTCGCATTGTGTAACCGACACCACCATCTGTCTCCAGAATCTTTCCCTTTTTTTCAGGTTGAACTGGAGTTTAGTACTCCTCAGACATTCCTTCCCTGTCCCCCAGTCCCCTCAGCCACCTTTCATTCTGCTCTCTGTCTCAATGAATTTCACAGCTCTGCATACCTCATGGGAGTGGTATATATTATATTGTATATATTAGTCATAATATAATATTTGTCATTTGTAGCTTTTTTGTAGTCCTCTTTTTCTTTTTGAAACTGAATTTTGTATGTTCACTTTCTCCCTGCTTTATTCCTTTCTATAAGCTTAATTTTTAAAAAAATATGTTTATTGGTGTTTTGCCTGAATGTATATGTCTGTGTACCATATGCATGCAATTCCTGTGGCGGCAGAAGAAGGTGTTGGATCTCCTGGAACTGGAGTTAGATAGATGGTTGGGAGCCACCATATGGGTGCTGGGAATTGAACCAGGGTACTCTGGAAGAGCAGCCAGTGCTTTTAACTGCTGAGCTGTCTGATATTTATATATGAATTTGTACAATAACTTAACTGTCCTTACTGAAGGAATATATGACATTGGAACTAATTTGATAGAATTATTTGTTTTGAGGCAGGGTCTTGCTTTTTTCAAGGAGAGATTTGAGTGTTATTCTGCCTTTTTCTTATTGCAAATAATTTTTTCATACAATGTATTCTGATCAAGGTTTCCCTTCCCCCAACTTCTCCCAGATCTTCCCACCCACCCAACTCCTTGCCTTCTTTCTCTCTTTAGAAAACAAACAGGCAAATAAAACAAACATACCAGAATTTTTTGTTTTGTGTCTTTTCTTTCTCTCTTTTTTTTTTTTCAAAACAGAGTCTTTCTTTGTAGATAAGGCTGGCTTTGAACTCAGAGATCCACCTGCCTCTGCCTCCCAAATGCTGGGATTAAAGCAGTGTACCACCACTGCCAGGCTTAACATATCAGAACTTTTAAAAAGAAAAGAAAAAGAAACACAGAAAGCAAAACCCATAAACACACAAAATCCGAGATCATAATATATAAGTAAAAGATCAAAAAGGTTTAAAATGTCCAAACAAAGCAATATGAGACAAAAAAAAAAGTCTACAAATAATAAATTCATTTGATTTGGCCATCTACTGCTGGGCATGGAGCCTGCCCTTAAGTGTGGTTTATATACCCATGGAAACTCCATTGCAGAAAATTAATTTTCATTTGCCAGTGGTTGTTGGTTGGAGATAGCTTTTGGGTTGGGGTGGGGGCTTATGTCCATTTCTCCCTTTCATCCCTGGAAGCTGTCCGGCTTGAAACTGTGTGTGTGCCCTGTGCATGCTGCTACAGTCCCTGTGGGTCATATGTGCAGCAGTCCTGTTGTGTCCAGAAGGTCTTCTGTCCTCGGTGTCCTCTATTCCCTCTGGCTCCTGCAGTCTTTCCACTTCCTCTTTCACAGAATTCCCTGAGCCCTGGGGAGTGGGGTTTGATGGCAATATCCCACTTAAGACGTAATGTTCCAAGGTCTCTCGCTCTCTGCATATTGTCCAGTTCTGGGTCTCTGTTAGTTCCTGTCTTTTTCATTTTCTGAGATAAGGTCTCATTATGTAGCCCTGGTTGTCCTGGAATTAGATATGTAAACATGGCTAGCCTCAAACTCACAGAGATCTGCCTTCTTTTGCCTCCCAGCTTCTGGGATTAAAGGCATGTGCCACCACACCCAACTAAGGTAGGGTCTTGTATTTTCTAAACTGGCCTTAAAGTCATATATGCTCCCACTTCCCCAATATCTGGGACTTTAGGCCTACATCACTGTGCCAAGTTCTTTATTTTTAGAAATAACTCATTATTGGATTATTATTCTAGATGGTTATAAGGGTTGAGGGTAGAGCTCTGTTGCTAGAGTACTGTGTAATAACACTCAAAAGCCCAAGTAAGATAGATGCATTGGACTACCCTTGTCTAGCATGTAGACCAAAAAAAAAAAAAAAAAAAAAAAAAAAAAAAAAAAAAAAGAAAGAAAAGTACAGGGCTAGGGATATAACTTGAGGGCAGAACACTTGCCTGTTTTGTTCGGTCACTTGCACTACAAAAATGAATGGATAAATAAAAGCAAAGTTCTGTATTGTCCCCCACCTGCTTACTCTTCATTGAGGCAGTGTAGAAGAGCATTGGTATGAGAGCTGAGAGCAGCAGAGAGGAATTCACAGATGGCATCAGGAGCCCCGTTGGAGCTGCTTCCATCCAAAGGTAACCTCTCATCTTTTCTTCCCCTAGATGGTACACCCTGAAGTCCAAACCAGGAAAGAAGGACAAAGAGCGAGGAGAGATTGAGGTCGATATCCAGTTTATGAGAAACAACATGACTGCCAGCATGTTTGACCTCTCCATGAAAGATAAGTCTCGAAATCCATTTGGAAAACTGAAAGACAAGATCAAAGGGAAGAATAAGGATAGCGCTTCGGACACCGCTTCAGCCATAATCCCCAGCACAACACCCTCAGTGGACAGCGATGAGGAGTCTTTCTCAAAAGACAAGAAAAAGAAATCAAAGATCAAGACTTTGTTTTCCAAGTCAAATTTGCAGAAGACGCCGCTCTCCCAGTCCATGTCTGTCCTGCCTACTTCCAAGCTAGACAAAGTGCTGCTTCATCCCGGTGACTTGAAGTCCCGGTGGGATGATGATGACAATGAGGATGAGTCCTCCTCTGCCTCGGATGGTGAGTTTCTGTCTTTGCTCACTCATCTGCTTCCCCAGCCTTTGTTCTGAGAAGGAAGAGGCAGGTCTTTGGGTTTTAGTTACCACAGTGATGATGGTGATGATATTCATTAAGGCTTTGTTCCTTAGGAGAATACAATAGTCTTCTCCAAGGCTTTGGAGCTCACAAAATAAGTAGATTTGAGGGGATTTTGCTGCTGTTTGTTTTTTCACAGTCCTGGAATCTGGCTCAGGGCCCTAGTATGCTGGGCAAATGCTCTAACCCTGACACACACCCCTAGCACCTGTTGTATATAATAGAATAAAACTATAGGACTGTGTTGTGACAGGCTGTGTGTATGTCTGACTCTTCATTAATTCTTCAGATGTCAGCTGAGCTTCTATCACGTGCCTAACTCCCATGTGGTACATCCCTGGTGGAAGCTAAGTAGTCCAGTCTCCTTGACTCAAACTGTGTTTTTTGAACTTCAGCTTCAATTACTGAATCCCTTTTTATGGCCAGATTTTGTTACTCTATTGAGAACGTAGCCTTTTCCACTGGCTTAACATGGAATTTCTTAACTTTGGCATCACTGATTGTTTGGGTTGATAATTTCTTCTTGTGGGGAACCATCTTGTGCATAGGAGGATGCTTAGGTAACACTAGTACCTTCCAATCAGTTACCTCGATTGAAGATGTGTGCGGATGCTGATGGATTGACAGATGCCCCTGCCCATTGCAACTACTTGTTTTACCACTCCCATGCTCCTCTCTTCGGTCTGCACGCTAGGATGAAAATGATGGCATCATACATGTTAATCAAGAACTCTGTCACTGAACTTTGCCTCAGATCCCTCACTCATGTAATTTCCCTTTTTGTTTGTTTGTTTTATTCCTCTAGAGATTGAACCTCAGTGCCTGGAGCATGAAAGACAAACGCTGTAACTTGGAGCTGTATCCTCAGCTTCATTTTTTATTTAGTGTGTCTGAAGGTCAGAGGCTAGCTCGTGGGGGTGGTTCTCTTTTGACTATGTGGGTCCTGGGGATTTAATTCAGGTCACCAGCTTTGCAGTAAATACCTTCACTCTGTGAACCATCTCTCCAGAACTTACCCTTTGTGTTATTTTCTTCCCAGTCATGTCCCACAAGAGAACACCCAGTGCAGACCATACACAACTGAACCAGACCAAGAAAGAGGGGCTCTCCTTCCTCGGAGGCCTCCGGTCCAAGAATGACTCCCTTTCCAGATCTAACTTGTGTATCAATGGGAACCACGTTTACATGGAGCAGCCAGAGGCCAAGAGTGAGATCAAGGACAGCAGCCCTTCGAATTCCCCATCCCCACAGGGCTTCAGGAAGAAGCATTTGTTCTCTTCCACCGAGAACCTGGCTGCCAGATCTCCTAAGGAACCAGGGGAAGGAGGTGGCGTGACCTCTGACAGGCGACTGTCCGACTCTTCCAGCAAGGATTCTGTGAAGTCTATGTCTTTGCCATCCTACCGACCTCTGACCAGTGGGGACAGTAGAGAGAGTATGTCTCCAGCAAATACGGAGGCTACAAAAGAAACAAAAGAGAGCAAGAAGCAGGAGAACAAGAAATCCTCTTTGCTTTCTCTGGTGACAGGAAAGAAAGATGTGGCAAAAGGCAGTGAAGGCGAACCTCTTCCCATTGTCTCAGAGAAAGAGAAGGAAAGGCAAGGCACGAGCACGGAAGCCCAGCTGAGGGAGGAAGACCTTGGACGAAAGTCTGAGAGAGATGTTGTACCTGTTGCCTCCCAGTGGGGCAACTCCCTGAATCCCTTTGAAGATGTGCAGATCTCAAACCCAGAAGCCAGCCTGGAGTCTAAGTCTGAACCGAAGCCACCAGTTCCCGCTCCAAGGGCTCCCCAGACCAAAGCTGTAAAACCTAGGTAAGTCCTAGTTTTTTACATGTGGGACCTTTCTCTGCCACTACCTGGTATTTAGCAGTTTCCACTAGAGCAAATCTGGTCAGTTTCAGGATGTGTGTGCAAAGGTCTGCTAGTCTTAAGTCATTTGAACCAGTCACCTCTGCTGGCCTGGCCTGGCCTGCCCAATGCAGAGGACAAAAGTGTTTCCCAGCCTAAAGCTCAGCCATGCATGGGTGGGGGTTGTTTTTCTCAGTGAGCTAACCAGACTCCAGTGAAAAGAGACACTCTGTGGTCGATTCTGAGCATATGACCTGGTTGCATTGAGTACACAGGTTGAACCCATGTTTAAGTTTTCAGTGCACTGCCAGTGGAGATGGCTGCCTCTCCTGGCACTTGGCATCAGTTTGCTAGTGTTCGACACCCCTGGTCCATCCTTTAGTGTACCTGTGACCATTCTGTTTCCTCTGTGCCTGATCATGAGAGCCTGCCTCAACCTGAACAATCTGTTTTCTGAGTGACTTCCATGTTGACATTTCTCTGGTATGGGGGTGGAGAGACAAACTTTTGGAGATTGTACACACAGGTTTTCTCTCTCTCTCTCTCTCTCTCTCTCTCTCTCTCTCTCTCTGTCTGTCTGTCTGTCTTCAAAATCCATACTTGTTGCCTTGTGTTAAGCCTTTTTTAAAATTTTCCATTCTGAACTTTTTAGAAGCTTTTGGCCCTGTCAGTCAGTACTCGGAACTGAGTATATCACTAAAAGGAACTGTAGGCTGTCTCTTGCTCCCACTGAATCTTTCCATTTACATTGCAACAAATGTATGACAGGTATGCTTGGTGCCTAACAGTGTGTCCATCTGTGGGGAGAGCACACATCAGCTGTGCAGTGTTTTCTTAGCATGTATGAGGCCCTGGCTTTGAGTCCCCATCGCTGAAGAGAAACAAAGTGATCCATTTGTATGTCAAGAATTGCTGTTCCCTTGACTTTGTAGATCCTGTCCCCAAATGTAAAAAACCTGTCTCTCCTTAATGACAATTTTTATGTTTTTTGTAATTCATCTGCAACTGACCTGCAGACTTTATTTTGTCCTTTTTGCAGACTGGAAGTACCTCCAAAGGCCCAGCCCAAAGCCAGGCTTCCTTCCTCTGACTCTGCTGTCTTTCCTACTCTTCCTCTTAGCTCACCTCAAGCACCTATCTTTTCTGACATGAGGGGTGACTCAGAGACACAATCCTCTGAAAGTCCTTCTGCCTCCTCCTCTTTCTCCTCTCCCCTGGCAGCTCCTATCTCCACATCCACTCCAATTGAACACTGGCCCCCCACAGGCAAGGGGGAGGCTGATCCTAAAGAACCGCCTCTGCTCCTCAAAGCGGTCTCTCAAAGGGAGAGCTTAACACCTGCTCTGAATACTGGTTCTTCTGCGTTGGGTTCACCTTACAAACAACTTCCCATCCCAGTGCTGAAAGGGACCGAAGAGTCTTCAGGGAGCGAGACAGGGGCAGGGAAGGAAGCCCACAGTGATGAGTCAGGAAAGAACCCCATGGGGAAGCCTGAAGAACTTGTGACAGTTCCCTTCCCACAGCAACACCATGTCCCCTCACCTGAAGAGGCCCAGGAAGTACCCCCTGTGCTTTCCCTCAGCAGTGGCAGAATTGCAAACCATGCTGAAAAGTCCCCCACAGGAGGAAACACAGACTCCGAGCATCAGTCTAGGTCTTTTGTGGAGAATGACCACAATGGTGGAGTGACTTCTACAGTCAGAGAAGCAACGCCCCCTGTTCGAGAGGAAGAGGCAGCCTCCCCATTTGACAGCATAGCCCAGAAACACGAAGAGATGCATCCAAATGCCAGGGGAGGTCAAAAGAGAGTCAAGAAGCATGTGTCCTTTTCTGAACAGCTCTTTGTGGAAGAAGAAACAGAAAAACTCACTAGGCTTGAGGAAGAGGACGAAATCCATCCACAGCAGCTGACACAGGAAGGGCCTGTTGCTGGAAGCATGCCCGATGAAGAATCTCCAGAGTGTCCCCACACAGAAGGCACAGGAGAGGACCCTGTGACCATAGCAGCTCAGTCCATTCCTTCTGAAAGTGACAGTTTCTCAGGAGACCCCACAAGTGAAGCCAGCCCAGGAAGAGATAGTGCCCAATTCTGGAGGGTTGAGGAGAATGATGGCCTCATGACTCAATATCAGAGCAAGGCCAGCGATCATGAAGGCCTGCTGTCTGACCCCCTAAGTGACCTTCCTTCTGCCTCCGATGTGAAATCTCCTGTCATGTCTGATCTGAGCTTTTCTCTTCCTTCCATTCCCGAAGTGGCGTCAGATGATGAAAGAGTAGATGAAGCTGGAGATGGAGGGAAGGCAGCAAAGCTAGAAGCAGGAGTTTCCCCCGGGAATGTGTCACCTTCCAGTTTGGAGAAGGCAGAGGGGCTGAGTGGCAGGGCACATGGGTCAGTGCTCCTGGAGAATCTTCATGACTTCAGGTCAGAAGCTCCCAGAGTGGCTCCTTCCGAGCAGACAGCAGCATCAGGAATTCCTAAGTCACACCTTGGCAAGAGCTCAAGTGTGAATAAACAGTCACCAGGCCCTGGTACTGTCGAGGAAGAGGAACCAAAGGGAAGTGAGAGGCCAGGTTCGCCTCTCCACATATCCCAGGGTTCCCCCATGCCCAGCCCCTCACCCTCTGCAACCTTTCCTGCTGCACACTCTTTGCCTAGCTCTCCATATTCCGACAGTCACCACACCAGTGTAGCAGAACCTCCAAAAAAAGCAACAGAAGGCTCCGTTGCCAAAGTTGAAAATTTTGGCAAGAAGAAGCCACTTCTACAAGCCTGGGTCACACCCTCAGAGATACATCCGGTCTCAGCTCAGCCAAATGCTGGAGCTGAGGCAGCCAAGCACAGGTGAGAGATGATGGGGGAGCTTGTCTTTGTTCATGGGAAAGATGCCCTCTCTTTGCTTTCACCTGCAGAGACCAAGCCTTCAAACTGAATGGATGTCCCTGTGTCAGAATTGACCTACTTCGCTGGCAAGGCTAGTCAGGAACTCAAGATCCAGCCGTGTCCGTAGTAAGGACATAGTAGTCTTCAAAGATAGCTTAGGAATGCTTCTGCAGTGTGACAAAGCTCTGTAGCTGTGCAAGTATGGGGCGCTTGTTTCTCCAGGGTCTCAGAAGCCAGCTGAGACCAAGTGATAGAGCAAAGCAATACTGAAAACTTCCTCTGAGAACTGCTCAAAGAGCAGCTCCCATGATGTGCACTCTCCCTTACTGTAGAAGCCAGAAGGTTGTGCAGAGCCCCTTAGTGGAATCCTAGTCTGTACTAACCCACACAGATGAGAAACTTTCTTTCTTTCTTTCTTCTTTATTGTTAACATTCTTTATTTATTTTAATTAATTGGAAACCATTTTTTTGCAGTGCTGGGGATGGAAACGGAGGCCTTTTGCATCCTGGGCAAGTACTATGTCACAGAGCTATGTCCATCCTGAGACACTGTCTGTTCTTGTGTTCCATAAGCAGACTGAGAGACTTAGCATCGGTTGGAACCCTTCCCACCCCCAAGCCAGGGATGAGTTTTGCTGGCTGTGTGTGGCTCTCTGATCCATTTTGCTTTGAATTCCACAGGAGCTAAGGCATAAGATGGATGTTGGGCCAGAGATGATCCCCCTCCCATTGCTCATCTTGCCTGCAGCCATCTTTGAGATGGGTAGTTCTCAGCTTTGTGGTTACTGAAAGTGTAAGGATCCATTTCTTGTCTTTCTAGGCTTCATCCTGTGAAGCCGATGAGCACAACAGCCATGAAGATTGCAAACCCTGGCTTGGGAACTGCTGCTATCATCAGTGAGAACCTGATCAACGAAGCCATTATAAAGGTGCGTGATCTGAGGATTTGGCAGAGCTTGCATGTATAGAGTCACCATGACAGCTGGCCTCAGTCATTGCAACTACACAGGGGGCTGATGGGAAGAGGACTTGAGCTCATTTAGTTTGGAGACCAGCCTGGGCAACATAGCAAGATGCTGTCTCAGAATAAGCAACAGCAAAAGTTAAAGACCTTGGGCAGGCAGTTCTGGGAATTACATATGCAGACCTCTGATGTGTCTGTATAAACTCTGAGGGCCCCCAGACTTTTCTTTAAATGGATAATTACATTTCCTTATAGTTATTTATTTCTCACTGAATTCTTTCTTGTCTCTAACAGCATCATTGTCACTGGCACTGTTGAGTATGGTGGTACTATTTTTGCTTATTCTTTTGTTTTATTTTGTTTTTCTTAAAGACAAGGTTTCTGTAGCTCAGGCTAGCCTAGAACTCACTGTGTAGCCCAGGCTGCCCTTAACTTATGGCAGTCCTCATGACTCAGCCTCCCGAGTGCTGGGGTTATGGACAGGTGCCACCACCATGTTTTTGGTTTTTGTTTCTTCGAGACAGGGTTTCTCTGTGTAGCCTTAGCTATCCCGGAACTCACTCTGTAGACCAAGCTGTTCTGGAAGTCACAGAGATCCACCTGCTCCTGCTTCCTGAGTGCTGGCATTAAAGGCGTGCACCCCACCCCTGACCGGCTTCTTTTCTATCTTTAGGCAAGAGTATAAAATTCTTGATACAGATGTACCGGGTTTTATCACTGTATTTCAACATAGTTTCCAATATTTAAAAAGTTGCAGAAACGGTACAAAGAACTCCTATAGACCATCATCTGGATTCACATTTGACCCGGTTTGCTTTGTCTCCTCCCGTTCCGTCCTCTCCCTCCTGCTCTTTCTCTGTGTACCACTGCGTGTATCGTTTTTGCTTTGTTTTTTAATCTGAACCATGGAAAAGTAAGTTGTATTCGTCATGTCCTTTTTTTACTTCTAGTTTTCTTGGGTGTGAATTATATGTGCGTCTCCAGGTGTTTGTGTGAGTGCGTGCATGTGTGTGTAGAGGCCAGAAGTTTAAGTTCGCTGAAGTCTGCCGTCTTCCTCTATAGCTTTTCACCTTTTTTCTTTTAAATCATTTCTTCATATAATATATTCTGATATATTTAATATAATATATCATGGTTTTCCCTCCCTCCTCTCCTCCCACATCCTCCCCACCTATTCAAATCGATGTTTTCTTTCTCTCTATATATAGAAAACATACAGGCCAGTAAAAACAAAACTAAACCCAGAATAAGAAGAAAAAGCATACACACAGAGAGAAACACAAGATACACAAAATTGAACCTATAAAAACACAAAATTGGAAACAGTATGCAAGCAAAAGTTGAGTAAGGTTAAAAAGAAAATCCCCAAACAAAGCAATATGAGACTAAAAAAAAAAAAAAAAAAAATCTAAAAAAAAACCATTGAGTTTTTTTTTAAATTTTGTGTTGGCCATCTACTGCTGGGCATGGGGCTTGCCCTTAAGTGTGGTTTGTATACCCAGTGAGACTCCCTTGCAGAAACTAATTTTTCCTTTGCAAGTGGTTATCAATTGGAAATAGCTATTGATTAGGAATGGGGATTTGTGTCCACTTTCCTATCTCGGCACTGGGAGCCATCTAGCTTGAACCTATGCAGGCCCTGTGTATACTGCCACAGTCTCTTGAGTTTACTATGTGCATCAGTCCTATTGCATCTAGAAGGACTTGTTTCCGTGGTGTTCTCCATTCCCTCTTTCTGCCTCCTCTTCCACAGAGTTCCCTGAGCCCTGAGGGGAGAGATTTGATAGAAACATTCCACTTTGGACTGAGTGTTCTAAGATCTCTCAGTCTTTTGTGTATTGTCCAGTTGCAGGTCTCTTTATTAGTTCCCATATCCTGCAGGAGGAAGCTTCTCTGATGATTGTGGAGTGACAAAGTTATCAATGGGTATAGTAGAATGTGGTTAGGAGTCATTGTGTTGCTATGCTCCTTTAGCAGTATTTGGTTTTCTCCTAGGTCCGTGGCCTATCTAGACTAAGGTTCTTGGCCCTTGTTCCATCTCCTGAAATGTTTTTTTAATCCAATCAGATAAGGGGTTGGTTATTCCCACAACTTCTGTGCCATTTTTTTTTTTTAAGATGGGTCTCTTTACATTAGCTCTGATTGGCCTGGAATTCACTATGTAGAGCAGGCTAGCCTCAAACTCCCAAGTGCTGGGATTAAAGATGTGTGCCACCACTCCTGGTTTTTATGCCTGTATTACACCAGGATAGCTAGGCAGGCAGACTATCGTTGTAGATTGGAGGGTTTGTGGCTGGGTTGTTATTTTCCTTTCTCCTCTGGTAGCATGTAAGTACTTCCAGTACCATGAACTCTAGTCTGTAGGGGGGAAGGCTCTAGTTAGGCACCAGTGCAACTTCTCTGTGTTCAGTGAGTTATGTAGGTGTTGTCTTCAGCAATGGCGCTTCACATCAGTTTGTGGGGAGTAACCAATAACCTCTGCAATAGCCTGGGTTTGGGGGTGTTCATGGGTACCCTTTGCCCAATAACTTAATTAGATATAACTCATTTCTGGCATGAGAGATCTCACTTGGTGACGAGAGATGTCTAGCTGAGGCTTTGTCTCCCTTGTTATTTGGTGACTCCATTTATATCTCCTTCATGTATGTATATATTTTAAGAAACTTATGCTGTAGTAGGTTTCCACATGACTCAAGTGGCCTTTAGTGGTAGTTGTCTCTCCTGTATTCTCTCCTCTTTCCTTCCCCTATCCATTTAATCTTTCTGTTCCAATCACCCCATCCCCCATCTCTCCATAACTAGACATTCTATTGCACCTTCCTTGGGAGATCCTCCCCTCCCCCCAGCTCCTTACTTATACCTAACCTCTGTATATAGCCTGTATAAAAGGCAATATCCATATATATATATATATATATATCACTCAGGATAATTTTTTTCCTAGTCCATCATTTGCTTATGAATTTCATGACTTCAGTTTTTTAAACAGCTGAATAATATTCCATTGTATAAATGTGCCATATGTTCTTTTCATCCAATGATGGGCATCTAGGCTGTTTCCAATTTCTGGCTGCTGTGAATAGAACAGTAAGGAATGAGCAAGTGTCTCTGTGATAGGGTGATGAGTCCTTCGTGGATATGCCCAAGAGTGAAATAGCTGGATCTTGAGATCTATTCCCAGCTTCCTGAGGAACCGCTACACTGATTTCCATAGTGACTGTACAAGTTTGCACTTCCACCAGCAGTGAAGGAGTGTTCCCCTTACTCCGCAAGCTCAAAAGCATGAGCTGTCATTTGTTTTATCGATCGAGGCCATTCTGACTGGTCTAAGATGAAGTCTCAAAGTCATTTTATTTGCATTTTCCTGATAACTAATGATGCTGACCATTTAAGTGTTTCTCAGCCATTTGTATTTCATCTTTTGTGAAATGTTTAGTTCTGAACCCATTTTTAAATTTAGTTGTTTTCTTGTTGTCTAGTTTTTTGTTGTCGTTTGTTTGTATTGTTCTTTAGTGTTTTAGTTATTAACCCTCTGTTGGATATGTAACTGTTAAAGATCTTTTCCCATTATGTGACCTCTCACTTTGTCGGAATGGTGATTTCCTTTGTCATACAGAAGTTTTTCAGTTTCATGAAGTCCCATTTACTTATTTTTTCAAGGGGGGCAGGTTTCGAGACAGGGTTTCTCTGTAGCTTTGGAAGCTGTCCTGGAACTAGCTCTTGTAGACCAGGCTGGTCTTGAACTCACAGAGATCTGCCTGCCTCTGCCTCTTGAGTGCTGGGATTAAAGGCGTGTGCCACCACTGCCCGGCTTGAGGTCCCATTTATTTATTGTAGTTCTTAGTCCCTATGCTATCTGTGTTGTGTTCAGAACATCTTTTCCTGTGCCAGTGAGTTCAAGACTAGTTGCCACTTTCTCTTTTATTCAGATTCAGGTTGTCTGGCTTTATGTTGAGGTTCTTGATTCATTTGTAGCTGAGTTTTGTGCAAAGTGATGATAAGTATGAATCTATAGACTTCTACATGCAGACATCCAGTTTGACCAGCACCATTTGTTGATGATGCTGGGTTTTGCTGTTTGTTTGTTTGTTTGTTTTCTGGTGTGCATTTCTGGCTTCTTTGTCAAAAATCAGTTTAGGTGTGTGGATATTAGATTTGGGTCTTGAATTTGATTCCATTGATGAACATTTCTGTTTTTATGCCAATACCATGCTGTTTCTATTATTGTAGCTCTATAGTATAATTTCAGGTGAAGATTGGTGAAACCTCCAGCAGTTCTTTTATTATTCAGGATTGTTTTAGATATCCTGGAATTTTTTTGTGTGTGTTACCATATGAAACTGATATTACCCTTTCTTTCAATTTTTGTGAAGGATTGTGTTGGGATTTTGATGGGAATTGCACTGAATCTATAGATTATTTTTGGTAGGATGAACCTTTTTACTGTTAATCCTACCAATCCCTACTAATCCATGAGCATGGGAGATCCTTCCATCTTCTGATGCCTTCTTTGATTTTTTTCTTCGGTGTCTTGAAGTTTCTATTACATAAGTCTTGATTAGAGTTACCCCACGATATATTTTTTGAGTTCTTTCTCAGTCTGTCATGTGTGTGTGTGTGTGTGTGTGTGTGTGTGTGTGTGTGTGTGTGTGTAGGCTACTTTTTGTTTTTAAAACCTTGTATTTTTGGATATGGCATTTTACTAAACCTAGAGCTCACTGATCCAACTGAAGCCAGCGGCCATCAAACCCCAGGGACCCTCCTCTGTCTAACCCTCCAGCCCTGGGATCACAGGCACATGCAAGCACCCCTGGCTTTTTATGTGAACCAGGAATCCAAGCTCAAGTCCTCAGGGCAAGCATTTTACTGACTGACCTAGCTCCCCAGTCCCTCCTAAATTCTTGAGTGTATAACTCCTAAGAACAAAGGAATTCTTCAAATTCCAGAAGCTTACTGTTGAATTAA